CCCCTGGCTCCCAGGAGGTCCCTCGTGGTGCTGGCGCTGGCTGTGGGTGTTAGCAGCAGTGACCGGCCACGTACCCCACAAAAGCAGCATCTCCGGGGCCTCACCTGTGGGGATTTTCTTTGCATGGTGCCCACCTCCCCTCAAATCACCCATCCTTTTTACTGGGGGGCTGTTCGACATTCGGGTCCAGCCGTGCCCTTTGTCATCATCAGGCATCGAGAGGCCTGGGCCCTTCGGGGAGCTCTGGGGACCAAGCATCTTTTTGCCACAAGCCTGGGTTTGTCGTGGGGTGTGCTGAAATGGCAGTCATGACACCCCTGAATTTCTCGTGTTTACCCTTCCCTGCAGGGAGAAAGCTCCTCCTCTTTCTCTGTCTCTGTCTCCCTCCCTCCATCTCCCTCTCCCTCTCCCTCTGTCTCTCTCTCTCTGTCCCCCCCTCTGTCTCCCTCTCTGTCTCTCTCTGTCCCCTCCTCTCTGTCCCCACCCCGTCTCCCTCTTTCTCCCTCTCCTGTCCTTGTTCCCCCCTCTTCAGATCCAGCCGAGAGGAAGCTCTCTGCTCTCTAGCTGGAGGCCTGCAGCTTTTCATTTTCGAGCCAGTGCCTTGAGGGACGTGCTCATGTCACTGTCACCTCGCAGACCTCAGCGCGGAGACAGCAGCACATGGTCCAATGGGACTCGGGTCTCCACCTGGACGCGCCTGCCGCCCACGTAGGGACCGGGCGGAGCAGAGCTGGGGTCAAGTCCAGTTCATGCGCCCAGTTCCGAGCGTCGTGCTGGGGGTCCAGGCAGGATTCCAGGAGCACCGGTCGGTAAGCCCCCAGGACGGCGCCCGCGCCATGAACCCAGGCTCCGTCTCCCCCCATGAACCCAGGCTCCGTCTCCCGCCATGAACCCAGGCTCCGTCTCCTCCCCATGACCCCAGGCTTCGTCTCCCCCCCATGAACCCAGGCTCCGTCTCCCCCCCATGAACCCAGGCTCCGTCTCCCCCGCACTCAGCGCAGGTCCCCAGCACCGTGGATGCCCTGGCCGGTTTGGCTCAGCGGTTGGAGCGTCGGCCTGCGGTACAGCGAGACCTGGGTTCGGTTCCCGCTAAGGGCACGTACCTCGGTTGCAGTTTGTCCCCGGCCCTGGTTGCCACTCGATGTGTCCCTTCACATTGATGTTTCTCTCCCTCTCTCTTCCTCTCTCTCCCTCCCGCTCTATCCTCGGGTGAGGATTAAAAAAAAAAAAAAACAAAAAACCCAGCACCGTGGACAGTGCTGAAGACTCCTCCCTATTCAGGTGTTTGCTGCAAACCTGCCCGGGGCCTTGAACATCCTCTCTGCAGAGTCTCCCGCAGGCCCCTGTGCGGTGGAGAGAGTGCTGGGCTGTGCGTGGAGCCTGGGGCCAGGGACGGAGACGGGCCTCCTGATGGTTCCCCCAAATGAGGCTCCTCTGAGCCCCCCATTGAGGAAACGTGTGGACAGAGAAATCAGGCCAAGGGAGGCTCCTCCTCCCTCTCCAGGCCCCTGCGGCACCGCTCTGGGGCCCGAGTGTCCTCGTTTAGCGGGATTAGCGCCGAGACGCCCGCTCGGTTCTGCCCACATGCCCAGCGGGGTCCCCCCAGCTCGGGAGGCCGGGTGCACGGACACGTACCTGCGAGGTTATGTTTCAGCCACTGTCTCTGCACAGGGGCCCAGAGCCGGTCACAGGCTCCGTGTTTCACTGTCACCATCACCAGCGGACCTTAGTCTCCCCACCCCGTCCCGTCCCCAACGTGCAAGGACCACAGGAGGCGCCATGACAAATAGGCTCTTTGGGCGCCGGGCAAAGGCAGAGGCAGAGGCCCGAGCGCCACCCTGAGGGGCTCAGAGCCGTCCCTCCCCGCCGGCATGGCCCTCTGAACCCCAACAACCCGCGAAGGCCCTGGGACTGTCTTAACAAGGCGGGGTGTCCGTTTCTAGGGAGCACAGCATCTCCAGCCCCCCCGCCCCAGCCCGGGGTCCGGGGGGCCCACCTAAGAGTTTCCTGGAAGGTGGGGTTCAGCCCTCACACTGATTCCCCCACGGGCCCCGTTCATTCCGGCATCTTCACTCTGGCTCTGGGCAGCTTGCCGGACACTGAAAAATGACTGTTTCTGAACTGGAGGGCCCCTCGGACGGCCTCAGCTAAATCGTCATGGCTTCGGTGCCTTCGATGGGAAAAGTGTCCCCGCTCCCCATCGCGGCCGCTCCGGGGAGACCAGACTCCGCGGGGGGCGGCGAGGGCAGCTGGCCAGCCCGCGCTCCTCCCTCGGTGGGGGGACGTGGTCCGCGGGGGTCCACAGCGGTCCTGGGAGCAGGGCGGGGAAACAGTTCCCACCGCTGCGTGCTCCCTGACGCCGGTGCCCCGGCTGGGTCTGCGGGGGGCTCGGGGGAGGCGTGGGTTCGAGCGTCCGCCTGCCTGCAGGACAGCGGCCTGGGGTTGGCCCGCGGGGAAGCGTTTGAGTGGAAGGATCGACTGTGGCGTCCAGGTTCCTCCAGGGAGGCGGGGTCAGCGCCCCTGTGTCCAGAGTGGACAGCGCGGCACCGAGATGGCCTCGTCCTGGGTCCACGTCCCCCTCTTATAAACGAGGAGACCGAGGGCGGGAGGGGCAAGGGGAAGCCAGCTGTGTCTCCCAGCCCTGTTGGTTGCAAAGCAAGAGCAACCGAGTCTGGGCAGCTTGAGCGAAGACAACGTGTGACCCAGAGGCGGAGGTCACAGGACCGGAAGAGGCCGCAGGATGGACTTGGGAGGGGCCGGGAGCCACAGAAATACACAGAACAGGGTGATAGTAAGTGTAGCCGGGACCTCGCTGCCGCCTGCAGCCCCCGGTGGACCGTGGGGCGCCCCCTTCTGGGCTGCTCGATGACAGGCCGGCAGGGACCGGGGCTCGGTCACACTCGACCTTGACAGATGAGTGGCTGGGCCAAGGCCTGGGTCCTGAGCCAGCACAGCGTCCCTGTGAGACGACGAATTTCCCTTCCGCCCTCCAGTCTGCGGTCTCCGCGGCGGGTGCCCCAGGGACCCTCCGCCCATCGGTCAGGAACACGAATGTCAGCGAAGCCCTTCGCATGGCTAATGCAGCCTGTCCGTCATGTACTTCCTGGCACGGTGGGCCCCCGTCCCACCGCGAGTTTGGAGCCCCTGCGACAGGCAGAAGTCTCAGCCGTGGGCTCGGAGCGTGTCTTTGCTGGAAGGTCTCCAGTGGGCTCCGCTCCCCGCGCTTCTCTTGGACGGAGTTCAACCCTCTGGGAAGGCTGATAGCTTCAGAGGGTGCTCTCGCCCCCCTCCGCGGGGTCCGGACCCCCCTCCTTCCGCGGAAATGAATATTCACCTGGTGGAAGGGAAGAAACACGTGTCTGCCAGGGAACGGCCGGAGCAAGCCAGCTCCCATTCATCATTCATCCCACAAATGTCTATGGAGTGCATCCTCCAGTTCAGCCTGTGACGCATCGAAGGGCAGACTGCTGGGCGGAAGGATGTCTTCGCTCCCGGGGAGCTCGCTTTGGGGGGGAGGCAGGCCGTGAGCCCAGCGCGTGTCAATGCGGAGCCCACCGTGTGTGCTGCCGATAACGCGGGCGGGCGAGCCTGGATACCGGGCGCTGCAGCGAGCCCAGGGGGTCTGGGGACAGCGAGTTCAGAGGCGGAGGTCGGGGAAGCGTGGCATCTCCACCACACTCAGGCGGTCGGAGGGGAATGTGGCGGAGAAAATAGCACCTTTCTGGAGGTGGGACCCGGTGTTGTCAGGCTCAGAGAGGTCACTCGAGAAACGTTAGCCTCAGTCCACGTCCGCTGAGAAGCAGGGTGGGTGTCCATCCCGCCAGCAAGCCCCGTGCGCACACCTGACACACACAATTCCTTGATCTGTCGTCCACCTCCGGGCAGCGACGTCAGGCCACCTCGACGCCAGGGTCGGAGGCCTTGGGCTGGAGCGCGGTTGCCTTCCTGTGTGTGGCTCTGCCCGGCTTGCCTCCGGGTGACCCAGGCGGGGAGGGCCCTGATGGCACTGGGGACGCCTGACGTCTGAGACTCTCATGGCGTCACCCACAGGGATGTCCGGCGCCAGCTCGTGTTGGGCGTGGCCCCTGTTTGCCGCTGACTTCAGGAGGTGGCCTGTGTCCACCTGGTCTCTGGGCGGCAGCCTCTGACATCTCTGCTGCCCGCCCCCTCTCTGCCTGGCAGGAGACCGCGGCCAGGCCAGGGGCTGAGTTCCCTCACTCGTCCGCCTGAGGAGGCTGCCTCGGGACCCAGTGAAAATTGCACTTTCCTGTGCACACAGGCCCTGGGGGCTGGGCAGTGGGGGGCCCCTCCGTGCCCCTGGTCCCCCAAGCTGACTATGCTGCCGTACCCAGGCCCTGGTTGGGGTTGTATGGGAGGCAACTAATCAATCTGTCTCTCTCACATCAATGTTTCTCCCTCTCTTTCTCTCTCTCCTGCTCTATCTGAAAATTTTTTAAAATCTTTAAAAAAAAAGAGAGAGAGCCCTGGCCAGTTTGGTTCAGCGGTTAGAGCGTCGGCCTGCGGTCTGGAGAGACCCGGGTTCGGTTCCCACTAAGGGCACGTACTTCGGTTGCAGTTTGTCCCCAGCCCTGGTTGGTCGTGCGGGTGGCAGCCACTCGATGTGTCCCTTTCACGTCGATGTTTCTCTCTCTCTCTCTCTTCCTCTCTCCCTCCCACTCTATCTGTACAAAAAGTGGAAAAATATCCTCGGGTGAGGATAAAAAAAAAGAGAGAGAGACAGAGAGATCCGTCAATACATACACTGGTTAGTGTTCCACGTTGAAGACTCCTTGCCCAGATCCTTAATCTGTGAGTGTGGCTGCCTCCCAGCTGCCCGGGTCCCTGACTTGTAGTCGGCACCACGTCGCAGGTATGATGCCTGAAAGGTGTGCTGTTTGTCCCTCTGTTCCAGTCGCAAGGGTGACCAGGAGGGCCAGAGGGCGAGAGCGGCGTGCCCCCGACGGGTCCGCTGAGCGCTCTTTTCTCTGGTTCTGCCGCAGAAGCAGCGGTTCGTTCAGCGAGGTCGTGCAGATGAGCTTCGAGGTCACCAGCTTCAGCAGTCTGTCGGGGACGCAGCCCATCACCTGGCAGGTGGAATACCCGCGGAAGGGGACCACAGACATCGCTGTGTCTGAGATCTTCATCAGCCAGAAGGACCTGGTTGGCATCGTCCCCTTGGCCATGGTAAGACGCGTGTGGTTGCGGGCGCTCCCGTGTCCGGCTGGCTGCGTCCTGGGTCCTTCCTGTGGTCCCCGGGACGTCGGCCGCCATTGCTTTGGGGGGTGTTTGTGTGAACACGTGTCCATCTTCCCCGCATCCCGGAAGGTGCTACATTTCATCACTCCTGCCTTTCTCAACGTTAGGGTCTTTTCAGACCAGCCTCACGATATTTGCCATGTCTCACACCAACGTTCCGGTTACTCACCTACTCTTTCTGCTCTAAGTCTGTTCCTGTTCCTTTTCATAAGAAGTTACCATGTGTATTAGTCAGGATAGGTGTGCTTCGCTGCTGCAACAAACAACCCCCAAATCTCTGCGGCAACGTGGTTACTCTCGCTCACACTGCGTGGCGTACATGGCTCCGCGCAGTCCCTCCGGCCCCACACTGACGGACGGACACCTCGTCACCTTGTAGCTCTGACGGCAGGAGCCCTCTGGGTCCCCCTGGCGAGGGCCGCACAGCTGTAGAGTCAAAGGCCTGGAAAGGACATGGGACCCTTTCCCACTTGCTGGTCAGAGGGAACCCCAGAGCCCGTCGGATTTCAAGGGGGCTGGGAAACGGGTGTGGAGGAAGAATTGGCCGAATGCCATGTTCTCTGCCTCGCTACATGACAAATCCGCGTGTCCCTGAGACAACAGCACCCGACACACACCCCGTACGCACAGACCCGTGGACCTCCGGCGGGACCCCGTGCGGCTGGCGAGGGTGAGAGGCTGGACCGGAACCACCCGCCGTCACTGACCCACGGCTGCCGCGTCCCAGAGCTTTCTCCAGGACAGACACCCCCTGGGGGACAGAGAGAGGAAGGAGTTCCATGTGGGACTTGGACCCCCGAAAACCTAACTAATAGCTTACGGCTGCCTGAAGCCTTTGAGCGCCTGAGCAGTCGGTCGCCGCCTGCTGGGTGTGCCCCGTGTGCCCTTTCACAGTGACATGAGCCACAGAAAGGGGAACATCATCAAGAAAATCACAAGGAAGAGAAAACACGTTTACGGTGTTGACCGACAACAAATCCACACTTCAGCGGCCCCGCGTCTGAACCCGTGCGGGTCCAGGGTGAGCGGTGTGACGTCACAGATGAACCCCACCGTCAGAGAGGTGCAGAGCTCCGCCGGCGGGCTCTGCCTGCTGGCTGTGGGTGCCGGGGCTGGTCCCCCGTGGAGGACACAGGGCGGCAGGGCCCGCCCTCACCCCGAGGCCATGGACGCTCAGACCCACTCAGCCCTCAGAGGTCGGCGGTCGACACAAGGTCCTGCCCTCAAGGGGCCTGCACTCTGGGGACAGCGAAAAGGTAGACGCCCCCCAAGGTGAGACCAGGGACTCGTTTCTGCTTCTGTCTCAGCGGCCCTCACTTGAGTTTATCTCTCAGTGAAGAGCTAACTGTTACACGGAGTCTAGACGAGGCAGGGTGGCGAGAGGCCCTCTCCCGGGACCACTGACTTCGCCCCAGCTTGAGTTCCCGGGCGCGGCGGGTGCACCTGGATGTCGAAGCATCTCCCGATGACGCTGTTTTGCCTTTGCACGTTCAGGATGCAATCATTTCCCGTGACCCCGAAACGGGGTGTGAATTTGGTGTGGTTTTATTTTTTTATTTTTCCTTCTGTAAAGTTTTGACAGTTCTGGAAGGGGTCCGCATCCCTGCGTGAAATCCGGTGAGCAGCCAAGTGGCCGTCACGGGGGCCCCTTCGAAGAGCGGTTGCCGCTTGTTCTCACGTCTGCGGAATCACGATGCTAATCCTCAGCTCTTGGGGTGTCACGGAGCTTCACTGAGGTTTGAGGGATCCCTGGAGCCCCTCCCCCACACAAAGTATGCAGCGAGAGAGGGTCGTAGGATTCGGGCTTCTGGTGGCCTTTCGTTTCTGGGCGGTGAGTGGACAGAGCAGGGAGATGGTCTTCCTCGGTGGTTTGAATTATGTCCCCCCAAAACAAGATGCTGATGTCCTAATTCCCTCCTCCATCCCACCTCCCCTCCCTGCCCCACCCGCACCCCTGTGCCTAAGGAAGTAGGGTCTTTGCAGCGGTGATTAAGGACAGGTGAAGCTCTCAATCCGATGACTGGCGGAGAGACAGACACGGAGGAGACGCAGGGAAGACGGCCAGGGGGACCGTGGCAGACATTGGAGTGAGGTGTCTGCAAGCCAGGGACCGCGGGGGGTGCCAGCACCCCTCACAGTCTAGGAGAGAGGCTCGGAGGGGCCTCCGAGACCTCAGAGGGAGCAGGGCTCTGTGGACGGCCTGACTGGGGACATGTCACGTGCTCCCTCCGGCCCTCCTGCCCAGACAGCCCAGCCCGATGATCCTCACAAAACAGATGTGATCAGAAAAGGCTCGCTCATGAGCACGGTCTTCCTTCCTCGCTTCCTGGACACACTGCAGACAGAGGCGGGGCCGGGCACCTGAGCCCCCCGCTGGGGTTTCCCGCCTGCACCCCATGCTCCCTCCTCCGCAGGTGGGGGCTGCCTGTGCGCCCCGTCGGGGACTTGGATTCCGCGTGTGCCAGTTACAGTGACTCTCCTGAGCGGCCCGAGGCTCACGGTGTCCCTTTCTCGCCCCTCGGTAGGGGACACACACAATTGGCAAGCGGCCAGTCCCTCGGACCAGGTGTTTTCCGTCACTCGCTGTCGTCGGACGTAACTCTCACAAACGCGCCCCGTGTCATTTCCACGCTGGCCTGTCTCGCAGGAAGAGTCCTCAGGGACAGATTTCCTAAGCGCTGGGTCGCGCATCCTGTAACGGGAAGAAAGCCCGTGTCGGACCCGTGTCGGAGGCCCCGCCGGCCAGAGCCCATGACCCCCCACCCCCGCCCTTGAAATTCTTTAAAGTAAAAACGAAAGGGGGTTGTTCGTGGAATTACGCTCCAAGAAGCCGAGGCGGGTGCGGCCGGATGAGTCCGTCCGAATTAACAGCGCGGCGCGGTGACGGGAGATTTCTCCTTTCGGCCCCGCCCGGGGTTTGTTACGGAGTTTACGGAGGTCAGAGTCGGCATGTTCATTTATTTATTTTTTTGAAAAGCATGTCTTCTGCCTTCCACACAGGCCGAGGGGAGAGGGGCCCCTGCTCCCAGGACCCCACGAACCCCTGAAACGGTTCTCCATTAACCAAAAGCACCCGCCGCGAAGTCACGGACGCTCGGGGTGGCAGCGAAACTTGTAAGCGCGGTGGGTGACGTGGGTGACGTGTGGTCTGTGTCTAAGTCCAAAGAGAACTGAGCAGGGTGGCGGCCACCAGGGCGTGTCCTTCACACCGTGTGACTCAGCTACGGCCGTGCCCCAAACCCGGCCCCGGGGCATCCCCAGGCAGGTGGGACATGTGCAGCCGAAGACGGAAGTCCTGAGTGAAGCGTGTCGTACCTTCAGGGGCCCCAGGAGGGCCCAGAGCCCCACTGCCCTCGGACCCCCCACTCGATGTCCTCAGCCCGGCCCCTGCTCCCGCTAATGCTGGTGACCCATCTCCTCTGCCTTCTCGAACGTGTTCTTCCTTCTCAGTGACGGTCGACGTACCACATGCTGTTAGGGTCAGGGGTACAGCACAGTGACTGGACAGCATATGCCTTACAGAGTGATCACCTCCACACGTCTAGTCCTACCTGTATCTGCATCTCTAAAGAAGTATTGAGGACGACAGACACACAGAAACCCTGGGCGTGTCCCACGCCGTGAGCTTGGACATGTGCGTCCACCCGTGACACCACCGCCCAGTCGAGACGACCAAGGTGCCCATCACCCCCTAAGCTGTCTGGTGTCCCCAGTGGCTCTGTGTTTGGTTTCTTTTGGGATAAGAATACTCAGCGTGAGGCCGTTCTGGTAACAGGGCTGGAACTGTCCTGCGGACTAGAAGCCATGTCACCCCGAGGCTGCCGGGGCTCGTGTGCCCTGCGTCACCACCCCCTCAGCCTCCTGCAGCCACTGTCTGGGACTCTGCTCCGGGGAGTCCGACCTGCAGGCTCTGTCCCCCTGCCCCGGCGGCCTTGCCAGGCCTCAGCATCGGGTCCATCCGTGCTGCTACAGATAGCAGGGCCTCCTTCTGTTGTTTTTTTAATTTTTTTTTCTTTATTGACTTTAGAGACAGAGAAAGGGAGAGGGGGAGAGAGAGAGAAACATCGATGAAAGAGAATACTGATTGGCCGCCTCCTGCACGCCCCCCACTGGGGATCGAGCCGGCAACCCCGGCGTGTGTCCGGACTGGGAATCGAACCGGGACCTCTCCGTCCAGGGGATGACACTCCATCCACTGAGCCACACCGGCCGGGCCCCGTTCAGCCGTTGCTGGACAGTTGGGTGGTTTCCATGTCTCGGCCACGGTGGGTCATGCTGACACGAACACGGGGGTGCGGCGCGTTCCTGGAAACCCGGACGTCAGTTCTTCAGGGTGAACAGTCAGAGTCGGGATTGCTGGGTCACCTGGTCATTCTGCTTCCAATTCCTGGAGGCCCCCAGCCTCCTTGTGTGGACTGTCCTCCCCACACCCCGCAACAGCGGGAAGGCACGTCTCGGGGGGCTTCCCTGCACTCGGCTGTCTGCACCCCGTCTCCCCCCTAAAGCTGCTTCGAAGCTCCACAGGGCAGGAGTCACGCTCCCACGTTCACAGATGCGAGAGCCGGGGCTCGGGGGTGGCGGCACGCGTGACGAGCTCGTCCTCATTCCCTTGATCGCTGAAGAGAAAGAAGCGGGCGTCTCCCTCCCCCCCCCCGACTCATCTCTGCCCAACATACCAGGCAGCCGGCGCAGAGCAGGGGTTTGCGACCGGATCGCTGCTTCGGCGTCTGCGGGTTAAATCTGCAGAGCGGACGGGGGCCGAGGAGGCTGGGAAAACATTCTGCTCGTTTGCAAAAGGTCTGCCTTCCTCGGAGGGGTCAGCGGGGCGGGGCAGCCTGGCCTCTGTGCAGTCTGGGGTCACCTTTTGTTGTGGGCCTCACCTTCTGGTGCGTTCTCCTGACTCCTCAGCAGATACTTGTTCACCGAAG